CTTACAACTTGAAATTTATGAATGAAAAAGCCAGAGATTGCAAGGGCAGCACATGAACTTGTAATGAGACCGATTGTTACAATAAGAATTACCATTACTGATTTCTTGCTCGTGATCTTGATTACTGGTGGCTTCACTGGAGGTCTAGTCTCATTCCCCATTTTGATGCTTCTTGTGCCCACCTTCAAGAAAGCCATGGAGAGCTCGGATAGATCTCTTCTAACGTATCTAAGTGGAAGCTCTTGTTTCGTGCAAGTGCCATCCTTAAAAAGCGCTGCACCGCAATGGCAGTCCTCCAAACAAGACTTCCTGCAATCTTCTTGTGACGTCGATGCCCCGGAATAGTAAGGACGGTCCCCCCACATCATATTCTCCATAGAAGTGATGTTATAAAAGGCCATGTTTTCTTTTCCACTTCTGCAACCCTCCCGAGAGAAGTTTCTGTCGCAGCCAAGTGACCTCCGGCTGGGATCAACAAAATCAGTACCAGGAAGACAGAGACACAAAGGCTGGTTGTCATTGAATGTGCAAAAGCTGTTGAAGCCACATAAACTCTTCACCTCGCATGCATTTTTTAATGCCGCCCATTCTATTTTTGATGTCATGGATTCACTGTTCCCATTGTAGGTATGAGAATACAATCGAAAAACACCATCAATATCAAGTGTCGCACGATAAATAATCGTGTATTTGTTGTTGTTGTTGTTGGCTGAAGCCGAGGGTGCAAACAAGATGCTGATTATGCCGTATCGCCACTGTTTACTATAGATAGTTCGCCTGTATAATTGAGATAAAGCTTAGAGCCTGGCAAGTGAGTATCAGAGTTCCAATAAGCATCACCTGGGGTTTCTCCTGTGTTTCCTGGGTACAGAACAAGGTTCCCATCATCCTGCATCTTGAGATGAAAACGCCCTGTTGAGTAACCAGTGTCTGATGAACTAGAGAACAACCCACTTCCTGATGACAATTTTTGACCTCCTACTATGGTGTCAGTAGGATAATCAAAACTTCCCCAAATAACTTGGGAATCCTTGTTGTATAGCACAAAATTTCCAGAATCAAGCATGGAAGCAGAGGAAGCAGACACACTTGCATTCACCAAGAGCTTCTCCTCTCCTTGCTCAGTTTTTAGAATAAGTTTCCCATCCATGGTAAGCTCCAGCTTCGCGTTGGAGGTGATCGGTGGATCGTCTCGATTTGCCATCCATAAAACCGTGTTATTGGCTTTACCCACCAACCAAATCCCAATTAAAAAGCCACTGCCTTGTGAGAAGAATCCAAATTCAAATCGACCAGTAAAAGAGAGCCATGATGTGGGATGAGTTGTGGGGTAAAGTGATGATCCCAAGCTTATCTTGTTCGAATGATTTTGTTGAGCTTCCACAATTACACAAAATAGAAAATTGAGCAAGAAAATAGCAGATACAAAAGCCATTAGAGAGAAGGAGAGGATACAATTGGCCTTGTTTTCACTAATTAAGCTATAGTGTAAAAAAAACACTTGCCAAACCTCAAACTTGTTTTCCAAACATGGGGGTGACTTCTCCTCGGTGTCCGTCCTCACCCAAAAGAAAACGCGTGGATGACTTTTGAAGAAAACATAAATTTCTTTGTCATTTCAGTAGTTAAAAAAACAGAAATATTACCATTGACTTATTCAAGGGGCAAGTCGCACGTCTTTCTTTAAAAGCAGCCACCAACTAAAAGGCAAATATCATTAAATCACATAAGAGACTTTTTAGTCTACTTGATAAATTGTCCTTTTTTTATGCCCAAGTGAAGAGATACTGCATTAAAAAAAAAAAAAAAATAGTATTGTACAAGAAAAAAGAAAGTGAAGGCATAACTAGGGTACATTTCATCGAAATAACTAAATTACATGGTAAACACTTGCACACACATCATGAAACTTAAAAGAGAATTAAGGAGCTGGAGCTGGAGATGGAGGAGCTAATATACTTATTCTTCCTTCCAACATCAAGATTATGTTTTTCATGCAAGGACGCAGATCTGGATCATCCTGAATACACCACAGTCCAACCTTCACAACTCTTTCCAATATCATCAAATCTACCTCTTCATCTTTGACAAGCTTATACAACTCTCCACTCACAAAGCACTTGTATACCCAAGTAGAAAGAGAGATCTCATCTGCAGTTGAAACATTCACCTCTATATTGCGTCTGCAACAGACAATCTCCAACAACACAACCCCAAAGCTGTAAATGTCAGATTTTACTGATATCAAGGCGTTCTTATGCCATTCTGGTGCCGAGTACTCCCTGGTCTCCGTGATTCCATTGATGGTTCCTAATTGATCATTTGGCAGTAAAAGCTTTGCTAACCCAAAATCAGAGATCTTAGCAGACCAAGAATCATCCATAAGTATGTTTTTAGGCTTTATGTCACCGTGAATGATATGGGCCTCACACTCTTCATGTAGATAAAGAATCCCTCTAGCAACATCTAGGATAATCTTCACTCTCTCCCTCCAACAAGGATGCGTCTCAGCCTTAAATAAAAATTCTGCAAGTGAGCCATTGCCCATGTAATCATAAACAAGAAGCTTCTTAGAGCGCTCAATACAAAAACCAAGCAATCGAACCAAATTCCTGTGATGTGTCCGCCCAATTGCGGTCATCTCAGATCGAAATTCCCTTTCTCCCTCTTCCAAAACTTTCTCTAGTCTCTTAACAGCAACAGTTTTGTTGCCCCCAGACAAAGTCCCTTTATAAACTGCTCCATTAGACCCCTTGCCCAACTCTTCCTTGAAGCCATCTGTTGCCTTCTCAAGCTCTTCATAAGAAAAAGACCGCAGAGTAAACTCCTCGGTTGGACCTAAATTCACATTATCTGGCACCGACAGCTTTCTATACCTAGAAACTCGACTTCGGTATGCAAAGAAACTAGCGATTGCAATGAAAAGGCACAAGCACGCAACGGAACCCAAACTAACAGCAAGAATTAAAATCAGGTTTCCCTTTCTTTCAATCACAACAATGGGACTGATTCGATCTGGCGGGGTATGATCTGAAATTTCAGCATTTCCTAAACTGATCGTCTTGAAGAATGCTGTAGCTGAAAAGTTTGAATTCCGCTGACCATATCTGAGTGGAAGCTTAAATTTCTTGCAAAACCCATTCAAATACAGTGACCCCCCACAGTTACAATCTTCAAGACAAACTCTGCCACAATCTTCCTTCTCCTTTGATGATTACACAGAATAAGGATAGTCTCCCCACCTTAGATTTTCTATGGCAGTAATATTATACAGCATCGCTGGATCTTTTCTACTTCTGCAAAGATCCTCACTGAAATTCCTATAGCAACCCAGCAACTTCTTAATGGGGTCAACAAAAACAAAACCAGGATAACAATAGCAATCAGCTTTATTAGTTCCCATGCTTGAGCAGTAACTGTTGAAGCCACAGAAACCAAGGACTTCACACCTATCCTGCAACCCTGACCATTTGATAGACACAATTGAGCTAGTATTGCTCTCAAAGCGGTGTGAATACAACCTAAAAATCCCATCAACATCAATCGTTGCACGATAAATAATTGTATTGTTCTCCTCGCCAGGAGAGGAGCTGTTTACCACAGTGTATATATTCAAACTACCACGACTTAGGTACAGAAGGCCTCCATGGTTCAGATTCAGCTGTACATAATATCCTGAACCAAAAGTCCCAGTCGACCAGTAACTATCATCAGATTCACCAGAACTGTTTGTTGGGTAGGCAGCTAAGTTTCCATCTTCCTGCATACTGAGAAAAAAACGTCCACTTGAGTGGTCTGAGCTTGACACACTAGAAACCAATTTATAGCCAGAGGTTAGATTTTGACCTCCCAATATGGTGTCAGTTGGGAAATCAAAGCTTTCCCAAATAACATAAGAATCATTCTTTTGGAGCACAAAATTTCCAGAGTCAAGCACAGAAGCAGAGACTGCAAGCTCTGGAACATCAGCAATCAGTTGCTCTCTGCCTTGCTCGGTACGAAGAAGCAGCCTACCATCACTAGTGAACTCAATTGTAGCATTTGAGGAGACTGGTGGGTCATCTCGATATGCAGTCCAGACAATTGTGTTTTCTTGCTGTCCAACTAGCCATATTCCAACTGCAAATCCATTGCCTTGTGGGTAGAAACCAAATGCAAATAGGCCAGAAGGTGAGAACCATGAAGTGGGGTGAGTTTTGGGGGAGAGAGATGAGCCCAAACTTATTAAATTGGAAGGATTTTGTTGAGCTCCTACCGTTGCAGAGAGTAGAAAGAATAGCAAGCGAACAACTAGCACAAAGGCCGTGAGAGTGAGAGTTATTAGTTACAGGTTAAGGTTCATATAAAATACTTCTCCCGTTGCAAAGTATGAAAGAGAGAATTTATATGCTAATGAAAACTCCACTTCTAAATGCCATGTAGTCTTAGATTCATTGTATTTTCAAAGGTTCGTTGAACCTACTCTCGTAATTGAACCTAGTTTCGAGGTCAAATGGATGAAATGAAATGAAACGAAACGAAATTTATGTACTAGTTAAAGGTAGAATTTCTAATTGAACCTACTTTCCAAATAGTAAATGGATGAAATGTAAAATTACCCAATTCTGTTTGTAAAGTAAATGTTGAGAGAGGGTGTAGGTATTCCTACAGGCGAAATTAATCCTAAAATTTATGTGTGTAGTATTAAACGCACTTTAATGCAGGCTCATATTTAATCCGAAGTTCAAGTGGACTTGGCAAATTAACATCGGTCAACTTCACAAAATTTTATTAGATCAAGCAATGCTTCGTGTTTATATATGCAAGTAACCCAGTTTGTGCTAACAAAGGTGGCGAAGTCATCAACACGTATTTATCGGGAAAATAAATCATTAATGCGTGCTTGCATTTTCTTTCTTCCACAAGGAAGATATGTTCACATTCAAGTCTTGAGACTTTTGTGTATGTATTCAGTAGTGTTGGGTGATTGATGATGGAAAGAAATGGAAGATAAAAAAAAAAAGTGGTCAGCCGAGGTGGGAAATGAAAGAAAAAGATGGAAATGTTAAAAAATTTTGGTAGGGTCCATTAGGAGAATAATGGGTGAATTGATTTTGTTTTTTTATTTATAAACTCGTGTGTGTGTGTATATATATTTATTGTATCAGGGACAGCAAGGTGTGGACGAAAAAGAAGGAAAGAAAAGAAAGGTAATTGCCGGGGCCTACTTGGTGACTTTTGGTGTGATATCTGTGTATTTTTCGTGTGTGTAGTGTAATTTGAAAGTAAAAGAAAAATAATTTAATAGTGGGGTTCACAAGACACTTTAGGGTCAAGACCATAAAGTTGGTCTCATTTTCCTGATTCCCTTTCTCTCTCTTCGTGCATCTCTCTCAATCCGTAAGCTCATTTTTCTCTTATTTTTTTGATTTCAACTTTGAGGTTAGATTTCTCACTCATTTTTTGTTGGAATTAGGTTCCGTTTGAGGCAAAACAAAGCTCGTGTCAAACTCTTTACATCCATACCATCAATTTCCAGTTTTGAGTCTTCCTTGGAGCTCGACTGTGAGGACCCATTTTCTAGGGTTTTGGTGCAATCTTGAGGTAGGGGCCCTTAATTCATGAAATCTTGTACCTTAGTGAGTTAATTGCCTCTAATTGTTGTTTAATTTGATTAGTTGTTTAAAATCTAGAGAATTGTTGATATGTATGCATATATGTTAGTTGTGTGACTATATTTGTTGATTGTTCTATGTGAAACATGTTTAGGACTTGATTATATATGTTCATTGTGCTAGAACTTGTTATGTATAAGCATGTTATGACTTTCTTGATTATTCTTGCGAATTATGCCATGTTGCTTAAATTGGATAAAGTATAGAATGATGAACTTGTGTATGTCATTGAGGTATTCATGCATTAACATTGGGCAGGAAAAGGGAAAGGATTGATTTACTTCAAAAAGGGGAAATTTCGGGAAAGTGTTTTTGATGAAATGATTTTATGCGAAACCCGGTCGCTGCGGGGTTACCAACGAGCCGGAGGTTAATATAGCCTAGAGGGGACTAGGGAGTCGCCCTAGTGTGGTTGAGCTAACTGGGCCCCATAATGACGCCGCGGGGTTACCAAGGGTCAGAGACACTAGCCAATCCTCCTCTCGTGTCGCGGCGGGGTTACCAAAGGGCGGGTTGTATTAACGTTTGAAAATGATGGTTTTGAGAATGAAAATGGGGAGTGTCATTGACATGCATTGCATTTCATTGCATTGCATTGCATTGTTTATAATTGGAATTGAATTGTATGTTGTATTTAATCCCCTACGTTGTATGATCCCTATCTCCCATTGGCCTATGCTTTGCTTGAATTCACAAGGACACAAGATTTGTGTCTTAAGTGTCTCTACTGAGCTATATGCTCACCCATATATCTATATATATTTTTTTCAGGTCTTGGAAAAGAACCAGTGGACGACAATCCACCCCAACTTTGAAAGTTGCTAGAGGAGCATTTTCCTTGTTATTTTGTAATAGATTACTCCTTTGTTCATCCCTCATTTTTTGTAAAATTCCAAAGGTGTAATGATGTAAATTTCTTTTGAAGAACCATGATCATGTAATACACTTATGATACTTGATGACATATGGGATGCGAACTTGATGATATGTAACTTGTTGATGAATGGAAGGATAATCCCAGCTTGAAACGTTGTCTAGCTTAGTAGGTTGTATCATTATCTTTTGTTACCGTGAATTCGGAAATTAGTTGCATGACAGGTTAAATATGCATTTAAACAGGTTGCGGTAAGTCCATTTTTTTAGGGGAGGTTATGCTGATTTTTTTTTTTTAAAAAAAAAATTCTTGGCATTAGTTTTGGGATCGTTACATTTGGTATAACAATGATCTCCGATTGGATCCTTGGGTTGTTTGTACATCGGATAAACAAACTAAAATCTATTTTTCCTTTCATATCTCTAACATTGCAACACCTTTCAATTTAATTCATGTTGACATTTGGAGAATGTTACTGTACAACGTTTCTTAGCAGTAGTTGATGATTTTTCCTGTTGCACTAGGTCTTTTTCAAGATACTCAAATATGAAACATGTTGACTTCTTAAGAGTTTTTTTTTTTTTTTCTAAAATTAAAGCAATTTTCATTAATGGAAATATTTACAATGGGCCATTGGCCCAAAGTAGTAAAAAACAAGCTAAAAACAAGCCCAAATGGGCAGGCCCATCAACGCATACATTGAAAACAAAATGGTAACTGTCATTAACGACAATTGCCATAAACAAAGAACTTCCGACCGGTAATAAGGAAAGGCGGCTGAACCACCAAAATCTCAATCCGGTGGCCTTAGAGGAGAACGGCAACAAGACGGCGAAATGTTCCAATCCTTGAGAATGGATCTTGATGAGGCACAGTCACGAAAGCACCCCAATTTTAGAATTGCAAAAATGGTTGAGCAAATCTTGGCACATACAGCTCTCTGGGAAGCCTTCTTCCCTCTGAAAATCCTAGCATTTCTCTCCTCCCAGGTATGGTACACTAACACTAAAAGCCCCAATTTTCTGAGTAGATTACCTGAATTCTTAGCTTTCCATTTGGCACTTGCCCACCGAACTAGAGCTTCCCAACTTCTTAAGGCTGTAAACATGCTGCACTTGTATTTGATGAAACGCCACAATGGAGAGACAAAAGAGCAATTTAAGAAAATGTGATCATGAGATTCCATGGACTCACTGCAGAGGGGGCAAATATTGATGTGCTTGGACATTGACTTGCTGTCAAGAGTTGGCAGTTTAGATTGAACTGCTGACCAAAGTATGAACTTCATTCTGGGAATTGAAGGAGAGTTCCAGACTAGGTTGTGCCATGGGACAGTGGGAAGGTCCCCCACCAAATGAGAGACAGTGTGACTGAATGAGTACAAACCAGTAGGAAAGGGGATCCATTTCTTTGTGTCCCTTGAAGAAGATGCTGGGGCTGGTAGATTAGCTAATTCAGGGATAATGTTAATGAGGAGCAAGGGGAAGGACCAATTGTTGTTGTGGATGAAGTTGTCTAGAGTAATTCCTTCTTGAAATCCCCTTCAATCAGTAGAGAAATTGGGAACCTTGTACATAGAGGACCCCCAGGAGCCCAATTATCCCACCAAAGAGTTGTGTCTTCCCCATTGCCAATAGAATGCTTGATGAGGGTTCTAGCAGTGTGCCTTAACTGGAGCATCTTCCTCCAACTCTAAGAGCATGGTTGGGGGAAATTAAGAGTCCATAGATTCCTGGATTTAAGGAGGTGTGAATGGCACCAATTTCTTAAGAGCTTTCGTGCCGTTGTTGCATACTCAATTTTCTTATTCAGTGAAAGCCATGCGAGTAATAATAATGTAACAAAATTTCAAATGCACGACTACTTTGGTTTGTCAATAATTGTTCTCCAAAATTACTGTGCATTGTCACACCCAAACAGAGAGGGGTTGTAAATAAATGTAAACAGTGTATTTGAAGTATCTTGCGCTCTTTATTCCAAGCCAATAATAATAATAAATAAATAAATAAGGAAAATATCCTTGTGAAACTCTAATTAGGAAAAAATAAATTAAAAAAAATCCACACATACTGGAATGTAATAATTATTTTCACCAAGAGAATATATATATATATATATATATATATATCAAATTTCCTATCGATAATATGTGCCACAGTGGATTTATGAGCATTGCATAATCAGAAATTGCAATCAAACGGTATATTTATGAAGTTGAGCAATAATACTAAAAAGAACAGGACAACCTGAATGACGATGCTCAGAGAATTTCGTAGGAGAGAGAAGCGTGCTATACAAAACTGATAACTGCGGTGCAGTCCTGATCAATCAAGTATCCAACGCCACTAATTGACCGCGCGATCGATGCTTGGCCTTCCCCACCATCAACCATCTTATGTCCCTCTTTTTTAATTTTGCCCTAAATTTGGTCTGGTCTCCAATGGTGAAAAGGTCGTTCTTACTGTCTATAATCTTAGCCACCATTGTGCTCCAGTCCAATTTTCAATGGAGCTTATGATTTTGTGCTCCAATTTCTTTTCCTCTTTTTGACAAACTATAAAATTCATTGTTCTACCTAAAATCATATCTGACCAAATCAAACAGTATAGTTAGTTCAGTTTTGTGAAGAAATATTTCGGTTTCCATTATAAACATTAAATTAAAAAACATTGATAGACACTATTAATTTAAACTATTGTATGTATACATATACACATATACATATACATAAATTTTATAATAGAAATATTGGATTTTTATTAAAAAAATAAATAAGTAAATTACACTTATCTCTCTTGAAATTTAGGCAAATAATATATGAATAGAGTGTTTGATCTTTATTACTTTAAATTTTTCTAAAAATATGAAAGGTAATAGTCTAATAAAAAAAAAAGATTCCGTAAACACTATTATCCCTAGCTAAAAAAGAAAAAGAAAAAAAGAAACCTAATCAAATGTAATTAGCACAAAAATAATAATTTATTTTTAAAATTTTTAATAATATAAAATTGATATAAAAATTAATACTTTGTATTTCAATAACATTTCATAATATTTTGTCATTTCATGACAAAATACAAGGTTATTGGGTCTTTAAACATGATGAAAGGGTAATTTAATTAAATTTTTTTAAATTTTCAATAATGACAGGAATATTGTTAAAGATTAGATGCTCTACTTATAATAAGAGAGAATTAATGTAATTTACCCAAATAAATTACTATACAGTATATACCACAATATATATAGGAGAATATAAGGTACCATATAATAGTAGTACAATCCTTCCTATAGATATATATATATAATATTTTAAATTTATTTTTCATTTAATTAATATTATATACATTTATTTACGAAAATTCAAAACTATAGAATCAAATTGAACCAATTACTTATGAATTTCAGCTTCACTAGTTATAAGATTTGATTTAATTTTAAGAGAATAATCTAAATGATAAGAACTCTTATATCACATTTAGAAGGTCTATGTGTAAGTGTTTAAAAAGGTTGGACACGGCCATAATAGGGGGAAAAAAAAAAAAAAAACGAAGAGAGAGAGAGGGGAAAAAAACGGTTTTATTCTAGTTTATCCAACCAAAGTAAACATTGTGTACTCACGTTTATTACATGTATATTGATAGTCCAAAGCCCAATGACATTAATATAATTATTTTCCAGGCCAAAAACTTGCAGCTGGCCCATAATTCATGTGCCCACGGCCCACTCGTATATGCCCTGCCCAATGCAACCGGAGACAATTTTTGCAATGATCTCCTCCTTATTCTAAAGAGTAACAACGCCTCACTCACTGATCCTTCGGGTTACTGGTTGATTTTGATTTTTATTTTTTCCCCACTTTTTGCCTAGCCTTCTAGTGTGTGACTGTGTGTGTTGTAGGCCTTTGCTCTCAGATGATTAGAGAATCTGTTCTAATTGTTTATATCACCTGATTATATATTGTAAGCTCTGTTGAAGTACTGTCAACGACTTGTTAGAATGAACCTGTTGCATCATTTGCATCTTTTACTTGTCCTTGCTAAAATTATCACAAAACTAGACGATGATTCGACCATTTATGTTTCTTTTTTCTTCTTTTTTTTTTTTTTTTTTTTTCCCTTTTGGGTAAAAATCACAATAGTCTGATGATTGCTGAGAATTAACATAGGACTATAGGAGTTGAACATTCCAGTAGTTACTCAAAGCTCTTTTTAGTATTATTAACTGTATTATTATTGACCAAGGGAATAGGAAAAAATTTCTGAGTACTTGTATTGGTTGCAAGGAGCACTTAATTAACAACCTACTTGCTTACGAAATGAAAACAATGTTACCCACTATTAATAACCAATCAACCATTTTAAGTAATCCAAGTCTATTGACTATTTACATTGCAAATTCCAATACACTTTTGCCTCCAATTCAATGGAGTTTAGTGAGATAACTTGATCCATCAAGAATCCTAGATCCCAAAAAAAATAAAAATAAAAATAAAAATAAATAAAAAAAATATCTAGAAAGCACTAGTTGACCTTGCAAGCCTTGGCTTTGATATAGGCACCCAAATGGAAGCTGTTGTTAGAGGCCTTGACTTCCAACACAAGGCCAACCTGCATTCCTCATGTTGCACCCAATACCCTCCACTGAACAAAGTGACCAAGAACTTGGCCTGTGACACATTGCAAGGACTCATTGGGATTGCCCTAAACCCCTTCAACGAAGCAAATCCATCTCCCCACAATTTCCTGTCTCCCTTCTCACAAGGGAATAGTCTCACACTATCTAAAATCCTTATCCCCAAAAACTCCTTCTCTATCACTCTCAATGCCAATTTGTATCCTCCACAAAATCCACTCATGAGTGAATCAAAAAGTGCAGTGAAATGGTGGAGGGCCTCGTAGAAGAACTCCACAAAGGACATGGTTGGGATTTTAGCAAAGTTGAACAGTTCTTCTTCTACTAGAACAACAATCTTAGGGGACAGTTTGCTCATACCACCCAAAAAGGTCTTCACCAATGAGAGGCCTCTGTGGGGCATGTGGAGCTGGTGAATCATACAATTGCCTATCAATGTACTACCCTTCTCAAACCTTTCAAAATCTTCTTCTTTCACCATCAGCATTTGATCAAACAAGAACGGAAGATCTATCGAATCAGCAAACTCTTTCAGTCTTCTCCCCGTCTGTTGAATGCTGCAGGAGTTTTGTTGGTCGAAAACTATTGCTGTTATTCTAAGGGAAGCATCTTTTCTCACTGCAAGATCAACCATTAGTGGAGGCCATTGAATACCCTCCATAATGTCGAAGTCAATGACATGTACCTCCTGATCACCTTGTGTGGCCTCAAGGATTGCTTGATTGGCTGTGAAATGCGCGAATTTCACGTATGGGGAGAGCTCTTGAAGCATCTGAAAGGCGGTCAGTGTGTTAGTCTGCCTAGAAACCGGTTCCTGCAAGAACTCGGGGGAATTGATGCTCTTGTAATGCAGGCCTTGTGCAAAGAAACAAGCCAACCTGTTTAATGGATCATCTCCATTCTGATCAAAGAGGATATCATTAAGCTTCGCGATGACGGTAGAAGCAAGAGACCAGTTCTCTGCTTCAACAGCTTCAGCTCCTGTCAGCAGGAGATCAGTTAAGCTGCTTTCTTCCATCAACTCTTCTTGAATTTCTTTCAATTGGGAATTCTGATACTCTACTCGAAAATCTCTCTCTTGGACTTGTTGGCTCATTTGATGCTCCGATGTGGTGTCTTCTACACTAATTTCATGACTCACAATGGCATCTTCGTCGATGAGATCGAAGTCCATGAGATTTGTCTCTATTTGGAGCAAGCTTTCAATGTCAACATCACTAGAAATTACTTCTGGCGTGGTGTTGGAGGAATTGGGAGGATCATTTTGGAAAGGAAACGTAGTTTCGAAGCTACTACATTCATGAAGTTCATCAATGTAGGTAGTAGGCTCAAAAGGGTAATGGATTTCTTCACACTCCATGAAAGTTACAGACTATGAATTCAATTTGCTATACAAAAGCTATGAACTTTTAGGCTAAGAAATGTTACTTATATACCAAATATGAGGAGTAAAAAAGTAGCAAATTAATACCAGCCCTGGTTGAACCTTCAATCTCAATAACATTAATTTAGAAACAAGTGACTTCATGCTGGCTCTTCCTAACCAAGACCATGTGTGTCAGATAATATAATATTCCTACATTTTTAGACTGCAGTTTTATTAGGCAATTTTATATCCCAATACATGCTTATTGCTTCCATTAACCTCTCTTTAGTGAATGGTAAAGTTGAGAACAATTCAAACATAATTTGTATTATAGAACTTCAATTGAAGTACATATGAATATGCAAACTGTCTTGAAAGAATAGTGTGTATGTGTGTGTCTGTGTGTGTGTGTGTGTTAAAAGATGCATTAACAAATTTGTGAAAAATCAAAAGAGAATTGTTGTTACTGACTAACCTTATGTTGAATATACAACAGTAAGTTTGGTTGCTGTCTAGTGGCATCATCGTTTGTCTGTGCCGTGCCAAGCCAATAACAGTTCTAGTGGCAACAACATCACAAAGTGCAGGCAAACTGCTGATACATCAAACTTCAGTCAAAGTATATAAAATATGCTGATAATATATATATATATACCACGTCAATTACCAAGCAGGCCCTACAGTAAATATCACCATCTTCAACTGTGTGGCCAGTGGGGGTGAATTGTGAATATGCATGTCATGACACAAGCAGGGCCACTTCTGATTATACTTTTTAGGGTTTGATTGAAATTAAGTAATTAAACATGGTCACCACTCAAAGGTGGTTCTATTATCTCACTTGAAAAATTGAAGTATTAAAGTTCTTAGAAGTAATGTCCTTTCAAGTATTTTCAACAAACAAATCTATTTACGAAGAGTTTGTACATATTTAGTCACATTTATTCAAATTGATAAATACTTGATTCAGAAATTATATATGAACCTAATCATTCACACATCTTCATTTATAAATAGTTTTATGGAGTATTAAGGAGATTCTTCAATATTGTTAATTGCAGATTCCGACTTTTTTTTTATTCTGGAAGTGTTTTGTTATAGAACCCAATAACAAACTCAATTAAAGTGAGAATAAATAACATTTTAAGAAAAGTGATTATACTGACTCTAGTGGTGGTCAGAGAGAAAAACAAACACGAAGACAAACTAATTGAGCCTCAAGATCAACTAGACCACTTGGAGTCCCAAGCATCCCTTGTGAGTTCTTCCTCTTCAAGCTCAGGTTCACCATGCTCCGCCCCAAGCTCCAATTTTAGGTCACAAATCATTTTTTTCCCTTCAAATCAGAGTATCAATTATAACAGGTAGACTATAACGTCTAACACCTTAAATTTTTAGAGTAGACAATTAGTAACACAGTATTAAAAAAAATAATAGTCTAAGTTCAAATATCTCTATCATCTAGTACGTACACACGGCTTGGCAGAGAATTTAAAAAATTAAGCCATGCTTTGTGAAAGGGTTGCATTTAGGACACGAATTAATCATTCGATAACTGATGAAGATTCCCTTGTATTTAAACGAATTAACTGAGAATAAGACACAGCATACATCAATGAAGCAAATTAAAATAAATGAAACCAGCAATTAAGGTTTTGTTGTATGTGACATGTAGGAGAATATGCTTGGCATGTCACACGTGGATGACAAACTTTGGTCAGAATAACTACAATCAGATTTTTGCAGTGAAGCTTATATTCTAATTAAGTACTAGATATATATGATATATCTAAACAAGGAAACAACAAATATTGATGACGAAATCTTAAGGGGGGCAGAATCGTATAAGGAACACATGAGGGTTCCAATCTGTACTTGATCTGTTGTGAATGTCCAAACCTTAAATTATTAATAAAGATGTCCAGGATATTATTGGCACCAAAGGGTAGCTCTTTTTTTTTTAATGGCCAGCTTCTTTCTTTCTCGTAAGTTTTAAAGTAGCGCACATACTCATAATATTGCTTTGTTCTTAATGATATTCGAACACTCAACCACCAAAGAAAAGAAATATACCATTTTCTTTTCTTTTTCTTTAAATAAAATTCAACTAAACAAACACTATATATATATATCCTCACTCCATTTATAGCAAGCAAATGGTCAACTTTCTCCTCCTTGGAGTGTTTTTTGAAGGATTAATCTTAACTTGAACACCATTTTTCCAGACATTAATTTCCATAATCATACCATGCTATTTCTTACCATATTTTGTGCATTCTTGTAAGAGAAAGATAACATTACCGATTGAAAAAAAAAAAAAAAAAAACTTAATAAATCCATATCACATGTTTTAAATTACTTTATTACATAAGATTGGCGATTATGCAAAAGGTCCTTAAAAATAGTCATACATGAACTTGCGTAATCAGCTTGTCTTGTATTTACGAAATTAATTTGTTTGTTAACCAATCATAGCATAAACAGCTCAAAATAGTGTGATGTAACAACTAATCATTGTTGAGAAAGAGCGAGGACAAAACATATATACATATTGTTTTTCTTAACCAATCAAACATATGAAACATATTGAATTCATTTGATCTACGAACACACTTGTTTAAGATATCTTATTGAGAATTACAGAACTAACAACCATCATTTTGTACTGCTACGGAGATTTATCCTTGAGAAAAAATCACGAAATAAAAACAATTATCAAAAAGGCCACCTTGTCATTGCCGTGTGTGCTTGAATACAATCTGCAGTGGAACTAATATTTTAAGAATAATGCCCAAGTATTGTTCATATTTAAAATATAAAATTTAAGTTTCACTACCAGTCTATTCATAGTTACTAATAAAATATTTCTCTATTATGATCTAATGATATCTTTTCTCATTCAAAATTAATGAAATAAGATTGAAATCTTCCGATTACTACTAAAAGGTAGAGGATTCGAGACTCTAATAAACATCTAAAAATCACGCTACTTATTCAATTAGTCTTTGTTGGTAAGTGACACCTAGTGTTTTTGGAATGCAAATGACAACAAATATGTCCTATCCACTATACATTGTACCTAGCATTACGACCATGGCTATAATCCTCACGAGAAGTCCACTGTACATGGTTTTGGGAACATCCAATCTAAATTCAAATGCTTAATAAGATATGTTTAAGAGGCAGGAGTCAATGAGATCGATTGTACATGTCATTGTTATTAGAGAAGGGCTACAGGTCAAATCATGGAGGCATAGAATAATATAATTACATCACTAACAGCCTACTAAAACAAATTTGCTTATTTAGTTTAGGCACTTAGTCTCTCTCAGGCTTCCGTCCAGTTACTTTCTTCTTCCTCCTCCTATTTATTTATTTATTTATTATTATTAGTATTATTTATTTGGGGTTGCAATAGACCATGTTTGGATTGCTATTAGACTTTCTATCAAATTTAGGGTTTTCTTACCATGTAACCATTTATTGCATGGCGTTTGCCACGTGTCCTCTGTTATCCACCCTTTTGTGTAGCCTTCTCTGATCCGCATTTTGTTAAGATAAAAGAACCGAAAATAGAGAAGGTTTTTGGACTTGAGCCTTTAGTTTGTTTTTATAACAAACTAAGGCGAGCGTGGAGTGAGGCTTAAATATATGCATATTGGTTTGGGAAGTCAAGTGTTCTATCAATTAGGTTATTAGATAATGCTCAGAGAAAAAAAAAAAATCATTTATAATAATCTCACAATATTATTATAATTTCTTTTTGATTGCCAAAAAAAGAAAAAGAAAAAAAAAAAAGACTATCTATTTCTCAAATATAATACATAAAATTATATTTCAAGTATTCCTTGAAATCATAATATTGTGATGAAATGTGGTATCTTAACCACATATGGTCAATGATAAATAGAAGAACAACTTTGATCTGATTGTCAAAAGAGAAATAATTTCACAGATTTGGGTTATTTTTTTTAATTTTTTATATTTTCAAGTATAATGCATGAAAATAACGGCAAGAACAAATTTAATATTGCATAAAACTTTGTGATCAGATGTACGTAATTTTTTTTCGCGTGCAAAGAGCCGTGACATTCAAATCACAATATCAACCCTAAAGCACACCTCCTCATTTAATTGAAATAATACCATGATGAAATGTGAACCCCAACCACGCGTTCAATGTACAATTTAAAACTGCTTAAACATCCACTTGCTTTCAAAATTTGAAATTCCATTTGATATATATATTTATATATTTTACATTTAATCCTGAATAATTAGTAGCCAATTAAAGACCCACAGAGGCACTATTCCCAACCACGCCCAAATTAATGTGATAGGATTAAGCTCCCATATATCACTGTCTCATCGTCACCAACCAACTACAAAATGCAAACTTGGCCCCAATAAAGTGAAGGTTTTGGTCAATAGTCAAAGCTAATCCTTTATAAATTAAGGTGTGTTGAGCAAGGACAAAAGGAAATTGGGAAGTCTCCAGCTGTAAAGCTTCATATGACGATCAAGATTCTTCATTGGTATTACGTATGCTTGGAAAATGAAGGGGTGGGGGGGTCACTAAGATTCCAATTTAGCTACCAAATCCATATGTTTTTACAATCCACTCTCCAACTAATACATCCCCCAACAATGAATGTGTTGGTTTGGCCCTAATGTTGTGTCATGACACTTAAAATGAGTACAATTACCCCATAAATTTTACATATGAATGTGTGAGATTTGTTTGATACTTCAGAAAGTGCCGTTACATTTAAAAATGAATGCTATTATTCAATAAATTTTACATATTGAATGTATAAAAGATTTTATACTTTATAAAGTGTCGTTGGATTACAACCTTTAATTTAGGTGCAAATAAGTCTTTTTCATGATTTAAGTATTGTTTGATAACTCAACTCAATACTTAATTCTGAATAAATTAATATCTTATTTAGTGCGACACCACTCAAGAAATAGATGTCAATTAAAATAAGATA